GCGACGGTCGAGCCGTCAACCACTGCCAAACCCCCCCTGCCACTCCCAGTGCGCGACGGTCGAGCCGTCAACCACTGCCAAACCCCCCCTTCCACTCCCAGTGCGCGACGGTCGAGCCGTCAACGCACTGATGCTGCTGAATCGCAAACGCCAGACACTAGGCTCCGTTGCTGGCACAACGACGAGAGAATTACTCGGGCGCCACTGCACACATCCGGGCTCCTCTCGGTTCTTTCCGCGACTGCGCACTCGGTCGCCCGGGACAATCATGCACGACGAAGATGCTGCTCGAACTACGAGGGGCCGTGAGTTGGTTAACCGCAATGCCGCAGCAAACAGCCAGACTCCAGGTCTACACCAAAGACACGCAAGAAAAACAACATCGTCAAGACGATATCCGACTGCAATCGCCAGTGGCTCGAAGCACCATCATTTCAAATTTTTCTACTTGTTCACAAAATCAGCGAAAGGGAAAAAGCAATCGGACGAACAGGCGGTTTTCGTGATCTTTTTGAACAGGTAGCATGCTGTATTGGAGCCAATCCTACATTCGCTTCCTACTTAGTTGTGTCTACGTGAAGTTGTCAAGTGAACAAAAGACAAAAGCCATGCAGCATCCGCCCTACTCTGCAATACAAACTGCGAAAAGGAAAACACAGTTTCTTTTACGTTTTTGCCCCACGACCAAAAGTACTCACACTACCCAACTTAAAACAAAACTGTTCCGCTTTTTGTACTCATTTATGCCGTCCTCGAAAAAAAAAAACTCCATTTGCAATTGCCTGTCGGACTCAGAAAGAAAAACTCAAGAGATACGATGAAGCCAAAAATTTGTTCTTGTGGAGATGCCGACTAAAGCTCTAGCCCCCTGTGACGATGACGAATTGCGTTTGGACATTTGTTACTTTTTACTAACACCATTCTGTTGTATGCTTCTGACTCTGTGGTCCATGTCCGTCGACGTTCTACTCGTTATGGCAAAATATAGACACGGAAATTCTAGTACAGAGGTGGTAGTCCTCCTTCGCAGCAGAGAAGACGAATCTATAGAAACTTGCCAGTCGCGCATGAAGTACTTACAAAATACTGACGACTCCACGCGTGCGCTGAGTCCACGCTACTGACGACCACAATTTTTACAATGACGAAAGCTGGCCTTGTTCAGGCCCGACGATGAGCATTACGAAACGCAATTTTTTGTACCGCTGCGACTACATACATTCATCACGTCGTCTTAGTGCACAAAGGCAAGACTAGTTCACGACACGAAAAAGACATCTATTTTCAGACGATTCAAGCAAGAAGCTACGCTTGGAAGGATCACTCGCGCTTTGGAAATGGGATTTTGCTAAGACCTAGACGTAGATAGGGCATAATGGCATTAAGGGCGTGAAAAATGGGCACGGCGGCGCCGCCATTTTGATCTTGCCTTCACAACGAGCACTTCGGATTTTTGACGAGTTTCGTGTTTGGAAACCAGTTTCGTGCGAGAAAGCAAGCGAAAACATACTTCAATACTCCCCAAAGTGTGCGCACTTACTTTGTCGGGCGTGTGTCTTCTGCGGTGGTACATTTTTGAGTCGGTGCTCTCAGTAGCCCCATCGGCACGCGCGCTTTTCTCAGCGTCGGAGACTCGATGCGGACAGCAACAGAGCCGACACGATTTAAGAGTTTGTGTGTGAGAGCTACAAAAACCTGCTTTTGTAGCTCGCGCCCGCTACGAGTGAATCATTGTCAGCGAGAGGAAACCGAGCGGGGCAATAATGCAATGACGAACTACTTATTTGGCAGAAAAGGATTAGAAGAACAGCGGGCCTGTGTGTCAAAACGAGCGCACGCGCTCGTAATCTAATTCTGGTGGCACAGTGAAGCAATGTTTTTGGCGCTTGTCAACATTTCTAAGTTCATCAAAATCACGTTCGCGTCTGGGTCTGAGTACAACTACTCCATCTACATAATCCCCCGCGCAGCCATGCCACCGGAAGCTCAGACCACTTACTTTCGAATTTGATTCTCCAACAGCCTTCTTTCTTTCGTCGTGGCTTGGTATTGTACAGTTTGTTTTAGCATACGAAACTTATTTGGTGGTCGTGTTTACGATCACATTGCTCCAGCGTACGTCCACGTACAGAAGAAACCCAATGCAAAAGAAAAACCCGACACCAATAAATGGAAGTTTGAATTTTTGAACAGTAGCGAAGTGATGAATCGGTACGACTTCTACGCACTTATTTGTAAGTAATGCAAAGAGAATCGCCTAGATGTGTATTTCGATTATGGACAGAAAACGCGGGACGCCCATTCTAAATCGGGATCTAGTGGTAGCGAACCCGAACCGAACCCGTGCCGGTGACTTCAATAGAGTATGTTTGTATTCAAGAATGTCCGAGACGTAAGACTAAGAAACCATCATCGTGAAAGTGAAATAGCCAAATTTGTTCAAACGTTACTGTGATCGAGGTGCTTTAATCATAGAGTGAATTAGGAAGTCTTTTTTCAATGTGTGAGAAATAGAATTTGTAAACTGGTAACCATCAAGATCAATCAACTTTCGATTTTCTTGTCGTCGCTTAAACATCAATCTCGCCGCCGAACGCGGCAATGACAGGATCCACCAAGTGCTCACCCGCGGTGCGATCTGGGAATGTATCCCGCATTTCCGGCAGAAGGCACGTGCCTCGTCGAAGATGAACTCGCCGTGCTGAACAAACCAGTCTTAGTGTTAATGTTTTTTTCCCGAATACTGTTTTTTCTCGCACTATTGGGGGCCGCGGTTAACTTCGTCGAGAGGATTCCTCTACTTCCCGGCGCGGATGGTGCACCCAAAGCGCCGCTGCTGCGGTTGGTAGAGAATGAGGGTTTCGATGCTCTGTGGCCCGGGTCAAAGAATGTCTGCTTCTTCTTGTTCCTTCTGTCTTCGCTCAGTAGAACATTTCCTTGTTGAGACCGCATGCCGATTGGGCCTTTGTTCCTGGTTGTATTAGTGAACAGGGAGCTGGTGTTATTGACTGCTCCCCCCGTACGCAATCCCCCGAAGCCCGGACCCGGCAATTGCTTCATCGTTCCCGATGAAGTGCCGCCAATAGGCTTTTTCGGTGTATCAAATGTAAAAAATATGTCTGGGTCTGTAACGTGGCGCAAGTTTGTCACTCACCTTTTGGACCTTCTCGTTCTCCCCAGGAATAGCAGCTCCTGCACCCCCTGGACCAAGCAGGGAGGTAGAATGCCAATGCATGCGCGAAAAAGAAATACAACTTTTCTTGAGGTCTCCGTCTCTTAGTGCCTATCTTGCATGAGAGCCTCGCTATTTACATTTCATAAGTAGCAAAAAGCGAATCGCAGTTGGCGTTCATGATGCAACGCAAATGTTTGTGTAGATGACATGGTCCAGAGTTTGAGTGACAAGTTCGACCCACACCCAGGACACATATTTGCAGTGCATACGTGTTAACTCCCGCAGCCGCACCAGTTGAAGATGCAGTGCCCGGTGGGGCCGCGTCCGCCTGCAAATTCGCA